ACATAGTTGTCCTACGTTTTGTAATCTGATGTAATTATCCTCAATTTTGTAAATGAGGTAGAATTAGTTTGGGGTGTATTCTGAATCACAGACTTAAAAGAGGGTATGACTCCATTCACACGCTTACTCAAGTCACACCATTTCTTGAGTCACACTTATAACAGATAAAATGAGAGAGAAGAGAGCAGAAGGAATAGGGACCTTATTACTACCAAGAAAAGCTGGGAGGGAAACACGTCCTTTGGACCCAGAGTCCCTATATTGAGAACCTCCTAGACCCAGGGGAAGATTGATGCCAAGATACATGGAAATCTCCAAAGACCACGAAGGTCACAAATGTTGAAAGGAAATAAAGACCTTGGCCCAAAGCTGACAGACAGAGAAACCCTTCCCCTAGAGCTTGATACTCTGAATTCAGACTTCAAGACTCCTAAACTATGAAAGAATAAATTTCTGTTTGTTAAACCATCTGCTTTGGGTATCTGTTATAGCAGCACTACATAACTAAGACACACCAAATGGAACTACTTACTGTATCTTTGAAATTCTACTTCAGACGGCTTCCCATGTTGGTTTATTTCAACATGTAAAAACATAGAATTTTAAACATTAGATAATACTTTGTTCAATTTACCAAATATGAGAATGGATATTTTATATATATATATATATATATATGTGTGTATAGATATATATTTATATATATTTATATATATGCACATACACACATAAATATACATATTTGTGTGTGTGTGTGTGTGTGTATATATATATAAAATAAAATATTCTTTGTTTATATATTGGGCTTTGACAAAAAATTATATGTTACAAAAATACTTTTAACAGTTATATTCATGTGTTCAGCTCCCAAAGCCTTATTTGTGCAGAATGAGAAGTTATCACAGGAGTGGAAGAAAAAAATTGAAAGTTTAACATGTTGACATAGTTCACTAATGTTTTCCGTACATGGCTGTAAATTTGATTTTATGGATGCAAACCTTTTGTAACACTACTGATGCTTCAATTGCTAAATTCATAGGGACAAAAGCTAATTTTCATGAAAATGGCCTGCATGCATACAGACTGGGAAGCAGGAGTAACCATACTGTTGGGCAGAAGATGGCAGCAGCTGAAAGTTCTGGACTCTCACTCAGGGACGTTATCCATATGCTACTGCTCTATTATTATTTTCTCATTTAATTTTTATTATTAGCTACTTTTATTATAAAATAAATAATTATTAGAATACACCTCTTTCAAAATTTGAATAATTTATTCCTTCTTAACTAATTTTAAAAGCACCTTTTCAAATCATATTTTTGCATTTCAGATTGTTTCTAATTTTCTATTCTGTTTAATTGATCACTAACTTTTTGTACTAATGTACACTTTTAAAATTAATGTGGCATTACAATATTTTAGTCTTTTAGTACATAACAGGATCATTTTCTTTTCCTTAAAATATGAACTTATCCATTCTTTATTCCAGAAAAAATCTTTAGCATTACTCTGTCACATTCCAAAGGAATTTTCTCAGGATTTCTATTATGATTGTCTGAATATAATAAAAATTGACAGGTTTAAAATTAGCAGTTTCTCTATCTAGTATCATAATACCATTTATCAAAAAGTAAAATGTGTCTCTTTATAGTGGTATACAATTTCCTTTTTTTAGGTCCTCTGTATTTATATTAAATAATGCAATAAAACTAACCAACTATATTTTTATTTTCTTTTTGGAATGGCATATCTTTTCTCATTATTCTAATTTTTTGCATATAGAAATCTAGTGACATTTTGTATGTTTATTTTACAATTAACAGCCTTGCTGACTCAGATTAGTTCTAAAAGATTTCCAGTCGTATTTGGAAATTTTGTGAATTATGTATTATTAAGTCATAATTAATAATTCTGAAACTTGCTCTTCAATAGAGAGTAGCTAAAGCAAATGGAAGAAATGATAAGATAAACTAGCTGAACAGAAGATTTCAAAAAGCAGCTCAAGAAGACAAAGTCAATTATTATAATGAAAGGTGCGAAGACCTGGAGTTAGAAAACCAAAAAGGCAGAACATGTTTGGCTTTTCTCAAGATAAAAGAGCTGAAGAAAAATTCAAGCCTCAGATTGCAGCACTGAATGATTCTACAGGCAAATATTTGATGATTCAGGAAGTATCAAAGGAGATAGAAGGAATACACAGTCACTGTACATAAATTTGTCTGTGTTCATCTATTTCAGGAGGTGGCATATGATCAAGAAACAATGGTATTGAAGGAAGAAGTCAAAGCTTCACTGAAGGAATTGGCAAAAAAACAAGGCTCCACAAGTTGATGGAATACCCATTGAGATGTTTCAACAAATGGATGCTGCACTGGAGACACTCACTCATCTATGCCAAGATGTCTGGAGGACAGCTACCTGGCCAACTGATTGGAAGAGATCCATATTTGTATCCTTTCCAAAGAAAGGCAATCCAACAGAAGGTAGAAATTATCAAACAATATCATTAATATCACACAGAAGTAAAATTTTGCCGAAGACAATTCAAAAACAGTTGCAGCAGCATATTGACAGGGAACTTCCAGAAATGCAAGCTGGATTCAGAAAAGGATATGCAACAAGGAATACCATTGCTGATGTCAGATGGATCTTGGCTAAAAGCAAAGAATACCAGAAAGTTGTCTACTTGTGTTTGACTGTGTGGATCACAACAAAAAATTATGGATAACCGTGAGAAGAATGGGAATTCCAGAACATTTAACTGTCCTCATGAGGAACCTGTACATATACCAAGAGGCTGCCATTTGAACAGAACAAGGGGGTATTACATGGATTAAAATCAGGAAGTTGTGCATTAGGGTTGTATCCTTTCACCATACTTATACAATTTGTATATTGAGCATATAGTCCAAGAAGCTGGACTATATGAAGAAGAACACAGCATCAACATTAAAGAAAGAAATTTAACAACCTACATTATGCAAGGACACAACCTTGTTAGCTGAAAGTGAGAATGACTTGAAGCACTTACTGATGAGGATTAAAGACTACAGTGTGCAGTGTTGATTACATCTCAACATAAAGAAAATGAAAATCCTCAAAATTGGACCAATTAGCAGCATCATGATAAATGGAGAAAAGATTGAAGTTGTCAAAGATTTCATATTACTTGGATCAATAATCAACACCAATGGAAGCAGTAGTCAAGAAATCAGATGTAATATTGCACCAGGAAAATCTGCTGCAAAAGACCTCTTTAAAGTGTTAAGAAGCAAAGGTGTCTCTTTGAAGACTAAGCTGTGCCTAACCCAAGCATAGCATTTCCAATAGCTTCATATGCATGTGAAATCTGGACAATGAATAAGGAAGATCAAAGAAGAGTTCATGCTTTCAAGTGGTGGTGTTGGCAAAGAATACTGACAATACCATCGACTGCCAGAAAAATGAACAAATCTATCCTAGAGGAAATGTAGCCGGAATGCTTTTTGGAATAAGAATGACCAGACTTCATCTCACCCATTTTGTCATGTTATCAGAAGGGCCCATTCCCTAGAGAAGGATATCTTGCTTGGTAAAGTGGAGGGTCAGCAAAAAAGGGAAAGACCCTCAATGAGATGGATTGACCCAGTGGCTGCAACGAAGGGCTCAGGTATAGCAAGGATTGTGAGGATGGCCATGATGAGGCAGTGTTTCATTTTGTTGTAAATAGGGTTGCTATGGCTTGGAGCCACCTTGATGGCACTTAACAACAACAAATTTCTGTGGTGTTTTAATTTATCATCACATTTAACATTTATAAAAAGACACTTAGGAAATAGTATATGATGAGTTAAATATATATATATATATTTCAACTAAGAAAAATAGGGAATGATGTGAGTGTCCTATGGAAACTGTGAAGAGCTAACTGAACATAAAGTGTTATATTTATTCCTCAATTATGTAATGTACACCCATGCCTTTAAAAATCAATGCTTTGCTCCTCCTGATACTCTTTTACTAGCTAGCAGCCAGACAGTCATCTCCTGCCAAAATATCTAAAAGCAACCTCATCATCTTTTTCCATGGCCATTATTTTCTCCTATTAATTCCTGTAAAATTGTGTTGTATCACATAAATGGTGTTTATTAAATTCCAGGGGTTTCTTCTCCCCTATGGGAAAATATAACCCTTGAAAGCAGATACAGATTATTTATCAATCTTTGTAGCACTCACAGTAATCAACACAGGTAAGCTCTTAGTGAGCAAAGAATGAACTCAACTGAATTCTAACTTCTCACAGGTGAGCCCATATCCTGTTCCAGATTAGCTAAGGGCTGTCATCCTGGGGTGCTGATAGTGTCCCTCTCAATCATTTTGATGCCCAGACTATAATCTAGGCACATTGAGCTGTCGGCCTACTCCTTCACTCACTGGGGCAAAATCTCAGAAATAGCAGATGCATAATGCAAGGAATTCATCATTCCTAGGATGACAAGAGGTGCGACCTACTGAGGCTTCTGCCCTGCATCTCTCGGAGGGGTCTCTCCAAGAGAGGAATATGTGATCCTATGTGGGCATAGAGGTCAAAAGTCTGTTTATCACTGGTTTATAATGAAGAAATTGAGCACAGTTGCTTACCCAGGCACAACTGAGAGGCAACCTACACCTAGGTTGCCTATGACATTTATCCCTCTAATAATAAAGATGTGCATTCATATGAGGAACAACGGAAGGTTAATGTATACAAGGTTTCTCCTTAGATAGGATAAGGTTATCTTAAACATAGTAGTTCATTCCTTTAAATACAAGTAAACTATGATCCACCAATATTTTGGTTTCCTTATAACAGAGACCCACTGTGTGGTCCATCTTACTATTAAAGGCCTCCTAGCAGGAGGAAAAACAAACAAACAAAAAAAACACACCTCAATGTACACTATCATGATAGCTCCTCAACCCCAGTAGAGTTTTTTCAATGCAAATGTATTCCCCTTTGTTAACATCACCCAGATACTTACGTCAAACTCATTCAGAGCCGCAGCCAGCTCGCCGATGCCTGTGTGGCCTTTGGCTTCATCAGTGGGCGAGGTAGCTTGAGCAGCATTGGAAATACCAGCAATGGCCTCCTGGACTTGTTTGAACACATAATCTCGGTTGGCTCTTGTGGCAGCCACATCTGGGTGGCGGAGAAATGCTTGAGAGGCCGTGTACAGCATTGTCGCATTTTTCTTGAGAGCCCCTCGGGCAGCTGCCATCTCATCCCGACAGTGAGGGTCTTTCAGCTCCTGTATGAACAAAATGCAAAATTTGTCATATGCATGAAATTTACCATGGAGGCATCTGAGGTAGAACTTGGAATAACAGACTCTTAAAACCAAACTGAATTTTAGCAGTCATCTCCCCTTTGTGCTCCCTCTGGCTGAAAGGACTCTGTATACACTGTTCTTTCTATGTGAAATACCTGAGCTTCCCTCTCACCTTACTACCTTTGTACCCAACAGCAAGTCACTTACCTTGCATGTCCTGTTGAGTCTACTCTCCACCCAAACCCCAAAGCTAAGTTCTGTCCCTTCTATCTGCTCCCAAAATGTCCTGTCCTTCCTCTACACTTAATATTGATTATATATTACTTATGTATTTATCTATGTTTCCCTCAGATACTGTATGTCTTACAATAACAGGGAGCTCCATCTATCTTGTTTACCAGTGTATTGTTAGTCTTAAGCACAGTGGCTGGCCCATAATAAGCGCTCAATAAATATTGTTGAATGAACTCAGAAACTGAAGTCCTAACAAAGCAGGTAACTTGCCTGGATTACTGATATAGTCATCAGCAGACACAAAACCTAGACTTCTGTCTCTTGATGTTCTGCTTGCCTCCATATTCAATTACAACTAGAAACCAAAGTGTTGTGACTTTGTTTAATTCATCAGTGCTACCCCATTATCATTTTCAGAATAGGGTTCAATTAAAAAAAAAAAGAAAGAAAACTTTCCTTTAATGGCAGCTAAATCATTAATCATTACCCAATGGTGTCAAGTCAGTTCTATCTCGTGGCAAACCTGTATGACAGAGTAGAACTGCCCCATAGGGCTTCCAAACCTATAAATCTTTATAGAAGCAGACTGCCACATCTTTCTCCCACAGAGTGGCTTTTGAGTTTGAACTGCTGACCTTTTGGTTAGCAGCTGAGCACTTAACCACTGTATTACAACAGCTCCTTCAATCATTGAGCTTAGGGAATAAAAAGTAAGAGGTCAAAGATGATTTACATGACCATACAATACCAGTCTTCATTTTCAGTTCTGAAGAGTATTATTGAAAAATGTCTACATCATTTTTGGAGATTTTGAAGTCAGTTTGGTTTTTTGGTTTACTATGTTCTGAGAGCCATGTAGGATTGCCAGTTGAGTACCTCTGAGAGAATATGTGTCCAACTTTAAAACATGAGTAAATGGTTTTTGGACCACTAGGGTTCTATTCCTATTTGTTCATTTGGTACAGGATAGATGGATGACCTGACAACAATGAATTACATCTTCTCATTGGTGGGTCAAAATAAGTCTGAGACAACCACAGTATATTTGCACTCTAGGATTGTCAAGATGACTCTACAACAGCTAATAAACAACTGAACCATCTATTCTTCATTGCTTATGAACTAATCTGTATTATGCCACTGAACATAATTTCTAAATTAGGATTCTTTATTTTGAACCTTAAAGATGAAAACTGATAAATAAGTAACACTTGTCCAGATATACACTCTCTACTAGGCAATGACCTGGGCACTACGGGTAGAAGGATTCTCCTGACTAGTAATGAAGGGCCTTAACACCTCTACAACACTTGATTCAGAAATGGCATACCTTTTATTATGGTCTTTTATAAGCTGATATTAACTCTTTTGGTACACTGAGATTTCCCAAGGGCAGGATTGTGTTTCATCCGATATAGCTCTGACACACAGTAGAAAGCATGAATGACTTTTGGGGGATAAAGTGTAAGCTCTTCAAATAGATACTCTACTCATGGTCAGCTCTCACCTACGAAAATTGCAGAGTCATACCCTTCTCTGAAGTCAGTACTATCTAGACTACTAAGAGCTAAAATCTTGAAAAGACCATGAGTGAGTACCAGTCAATGAAATTCCAAAACTAGGTGAAGATAACTTGAGCTTTACTAATCACATTTATTAACCTGTCACACAGAAGACACTGCAAGCTCTTTAAGGACAGTTACGAACTCTCTATCAGTTTTTTAATCCTCCCATCACATCAAACTGGAAAAGAATGAACACTCAACAAATATTTGTGAAATACAAATTCCCTGTTGTTCATAGAGAAACTCAGAAAAAGGTGCTAAGAAATGAACAAAATGATGAAGACTTCAGGGAGTAGTCAAGAGGATGGGAAAAAGAGATTGAGATAAGTCTTCTACATTTGGAGATTTTACCTGCACCCTCCAAGGAAGAAAGAAGGAAAACACACATCTCATGAACAGAATCCCAATGGTACCTAACAGAAAAATGCAACCAACCATTGCCATGGTGTTGGATCCAACTCATAGCGACCCGTCCTTGGGTTTCCAAGGCGTTATCATGACGGAAGTAGATTGCCCAACCTTCCTTCCTCAAAGTGGCTGGTGGGTTTGAACCACCAGCATTCTAGTTAGCAGTCAAATGCCTTAGGTACTATGCCACCAGAGCTCCCTAACAGAAAAACAGAGCTTCCAAAAATTGACCATGCTACCTCTAGGTAGAAGAGTAGGCAGACAAGATCCTGTCCAAGTCCCCTGCCCTCATTAGAGTGGCTCACATTTATCTGTTCACTCATTCTATCTATCCCATCCTCCTGCTTTCCCTCTCACTTTGTTAATAATCTGTTACTCTCTTTCATAAAAGGTTCCTAGCATATGTTGCACATCTTAGGTATGCAAACATGTGGTGGTGTCCATGGGGCTAGGCAATAAAAAGGGAGGGTCAAAGGTGTCACTCAGAGAGTGACCACAGCACCACAACACAATGACATATTTGATTTGGAAGCTGTTCCCACAGCGGACAGAAAGTTAGTGTGGTCAGGCTAGCCGGGAAGTTCCAAGTTAACCTGGTGGCCTGTGACCTACTCTGTGTGAGCTGGGCCCAGAGAGTCACCTGAGGCCGGTAGTGGTGTCAGAAATGATTCAGGTAGGAAGAAGTCTTTATACTCACAAGTTAGTCTACAAACCTGAAACGTTATTTGTATTTCAGCATTTTCTACTCTAGTATTTCAGAAATCTTTCCCACCTGTTGCCTTCTTGCTGCTACATAGTTAAGTTTCACCATTTCCTTTCCAAATTCTTTAAAGCGATTTGCAAGGTCTTGCTCATTTGTAGCATTTTTGACAGCTTCCAGAGCCTCTTCCACCTGAAATGATAAAAAGAAAAATATTCATGAATGAATAGCATTTAAATATTATTAAACATTTTGGAACTATCAATCCATAAGAAATCAGAATTAATATGCATTAACATTTCAATGGAATGTTAGGAGGAAACTATCCCTAACATGACATAATCATTTATATTCAGATTATTTGTCCAAATATTTGTTCTAAGATTACAGATATTTAGAATATAAAAAAATGCCAATTGCTGAATTCTTACTGCAAATAAAATCACATATTTATTGTATCTTATTGAGTTATGATTTTGTTAAAACACTGATTTCTATTTTCAAATGGCAACATAAGGGAAAAGTATTTAAGAAAAAAATAGATTTTAAAACAAATTCTAGAAACCTACAAAAGAGGAAGTAGGTCAAACTCCAAAGCAGAAATAGTTCATGGGGGAAAAAAAATAGCTACAGAAAGGTTGAGATCGTTTGAATCTCAATCCTCCCTTTTGGCAACACTTCTAAATCTAACACTAAAGGATTGAAGTTCTAAGCTTAGCTTATACTTCACCATTCAATGGAAAGAGGAAATATTGAGCTTTGCAAACATGTGAATTTGAAATATTGCTGCCAATGAGGTGGCACCAACTGGGCGTAGAATGGGAATGAACAGAATTACAGCAAGTATGATGCCAAATGATGTGCCTTGCTTCTAAATTCCTGCAAACTGTTTTATTAAACTTTTCCAGCATGGCTATGAATTTGAATTTTGAATTTACCAAGACTTCCATTATTTGAAAGATACTAAAATTTTCTCCCTTCCAAAATCATGTTATCCTTAATATAACATGAAAAATTTACACAATTACTAACTCTTTAACATTTTAATATGCATCTACTCAAAGTTAAAATTATGATATTGTAGTGGCATAATCTATTAAGTCATTGTCAAGTAGCATCTTTGTAGAAATAATTTTATCAGCTGAAATAACCAAGAATGTAGTCTTGAGTGTAAACAGCACATGCCAGGTATTTTCAACATCAAAACTTCCTAAACACAAAGAGAGCATGGATAAAAGGCCCTCAGCTAGAAGGTACCTGATTGAGGTAGAGGGAAAAAGAGAGAAGATAGCATTTAAAGCATAATGAGAAATGCAGAGACTACACGAGTCCTATGCATAATTTAAAAGGAATTCCGGTGGCATGGTGAGTAAAGCATGTGGCTGCTAACTAGAAGGTCAGTGGTTTAAATCCACCAGCTCCTCCACAGGAGGAAAATGAGGCAATCTACTTCCATAAAAATTTACAGCCTTGGAAACCCAAAGGGGATTGCTATGAGTCAGAATTGACTCGATGAAAGTGGGTTTGGTTTTGGAGTGCATAACTGGAATTGGTTCTTGAAATTCAGGGCAAATCAAAGAACAATATAGAGACAATTTTTTTTCATAGTATCAAAATATATATGTGGTGGTTATGTTTGTATGTCATCTTGATTGGGCCTGGTTGAGTGGCTCGGCAACTGGTGGCAGTTATTCCACAGGATAAGACTGGCAATCAACTACTACAAGCAGCTGAGTAGCTGCCTTTGGGATGTGGTCTGCTTCCTGTATATAAGGAGAAGCCTTGGGGATAGTCTCTAGCTTGTGGCATGCTTAGACCCCTGTATGTAGCTGTGTCGTTGTTCAGCTGCCTGCCATGCTCTACCGACCTTGGGACTTATAATGGGCTTAAATTAATGGCCTGGCGTGTGGTTTGGTAACATCGGGACTGTGCCTTTTTACTTGTCTACTTCGGGTTTGTCAGCCTCAGCAGCCAGCAGCTGTCTGAGTGAATAAATGCCTCTAGTTCCAGTGGGCCGGGAGCAGGAGGCAGAGCTGGACTCCAAGGTTGAGGGGCTTTCACCCAGCCCCTAGAGCTGGGACTTTGAACTTGGACTTAAAGCCTCCAAATTTTAAGAGAATAAATTCCTGTTCATTAAGGCCATCCCATTTGTGGTATATTTCTGTCAGAGCGGCACTAGGTAACCAGAGCAATGTATGACTATTAAAATTTCTGGAAAAGGCTATAGATTAACTCAGTTCTGAGCTATAGAGATTTGTTTTTATTTAAGCTTGACACAACAAAGGTGATGAATAAAATTTTCTTATCAAGTTTCACTGAGTGAAGGAACAGAATGATGTACACACGCCAGTGACAATGGACAGCATCAAATCTTTTACCACATATATATCGTAAGTCCATTCACTTCATTCACACAGTAATTCACATAGTGAGAAAAGAGTTATAGTTAGCAAAGGAAGCTATTTTAAATTGGGGATGCTCAATCTAGATTTCACATAAAATTAAGTTTAAGTTCTCATCTTCCATGGTTTATCCTCCAAATTATTTACATACATACATATATATGTATATGTGTGTGTGTGTCTATATGTGTGTGTGTGTGTGTGTGTATATGTATTATATGTACATGTATATGTATAACCAAAAAACAAACACTGCCATTGAGTCAAACCCGACTCATAGTGATCCCTCCTTGGGTTTCCGAAGCAGTATCACTATGGAAGTAGATTACTCAACCTTCCTTCCAAGCAGTGGCTGGTGGGTTTGAACCACCAGCCTTCTGGTTAGCAGTCAAATGCCTTATACACATATATAGACAGACAGACAGATGGATATGATTGAACTCCTCAATGTTACTCATTTCCAATTCTTAATCAAACTTTTATAATATTCAAGGAAAAGAAGGAAATATACTTGAAAAAGGGATTCCTGGCTCTTTTTAAGACATTCAAGCTGAATTGTATTTTATAATATGAAATAGCCCATTTAAAACATTTTTGTAGTTTAATAATTGTCTTATACCTCAAATCTTCAAAAGAAAAGAATCAGTGAAGTCTCTCTTTCTATAGATTTATAATTATATTAGCATGGCGAACACCAGCATCACCAAGAAGAAAGCTCTTGGCAGTTAATTTGTTCCTGCTGCTTATTTGAATTGTAAATCTTCTTTCAGGACATAAAAATTGGTTCCAGGGAAGAGCAAAATAATTATTTCACAGCGAGATAAATTCTCGATTTGTTTTTTTCCTATGTATAAAACAGGATTCTTACCGGTTGTTAATCAGACCAATTTGGTATATTTTTCATGTTGTGTTACACATACTTTATTTTTGCATTGGTTTTCTCTGAAGATTCCAGATGCTGGCTTTTATTTATACTTCTATTTCAGTGAAGTTCTTTTAAAAAGAAACACCATTGATGATTTCTGTCTGTGTAAAGATAGACTTAGCCATTTTCAGAGTTTCAATCTAGAAGGATCTGCTATCAATCTAGAAGGATCTGCTATCACCAAGTTAAAAGTTCTCATATAGAATCAAGTTCAGATCTAGCCAAGGTCCAACAGAAATGGAAGAAATGAAGCCAAAGCCTGGATTCTGAATACACACACTGCTATTACATAGATGATTGATAGATAGATAGCATGTTAAAGGAGTGTGGATAAGGAAGAAAACAGAGGATAGTGACCAGCCATTTTTAACAAGAAAATGTTAATATAAAAAATCAGATTTTTATTTTTAAGAAGAGCCACTGATCTTTCTGGATGGCTGGGGAAAGGAAATTGACTCTTATGCACCAAACAAATAGCTTGTCCTCAAACTTTTTCTGGCCATTCAGATGCTCAGCGCATCAGTTGAGCAAGGGGTATTTCTTATACAGAAGAAGAGTTTGGGGCACTTTATCTAAAATAACACTGGTCTAAGCCCCACCACAAGCTGATATGTCACTATGTGTGGGGAGAATCATGAGGTCAGACTGGTCTACACTTGAACCCCAACTCTGTCACTTGTCAAACTCTGTCATATGGGAAAGTCACTTAACCTCTCCTACCCTCAGTGTTTTCATCAATAAACAAGGATTGTTGTTGTTGTTGTTATGTGGTGTCGAGTCGGCCACAACTCATGGCGACCCCTCTTTGGGTTGCCGAGGCAGTATCACTATGGAAGTAGATTGCCCCATCTTCCTTCCAAGGAGTGGATGGTGGATTTGAACTTCCAGCCTTCTGGTTAGCAGTCAAGTACCTTAGGCACTATGCTACCAGAGCTTCTAAAACAAGGATAGTCTACACATTACACAAGGCTATTATGAGAAAGGAGATAAGAAGTGTGAAACACTAATGCTTAGCATAGTCCTTGTTACAAATTGTGAGTTCCTTGTATAGAACTACTGATCTGCTCCATACTATCTGTCTTGGTGGTGGTGGTGAGGATCCCTAAATAATTTTGAGGAGGAAGGACTTCCTCTTACTTTCCCCATGTATGCAGATAACCAGAGCCCTGGGGGTGATGGTGAAAGGAATGCTGCAGAAGTAATGGCAGCAAGATACTGGTGATGCTCAGAGAAGGAGGACTGTGGTAATGGCAGAGCCTGTCCATCAGGGTGTAGTTTGGAAGAAACCATATCCTGAACTGGGAAAGGGTTTCCAATAAGCTGACAAAAAGAAACCTCCTCAAAGGCAGCTAGCATAACAATACCACTAAAAATGCCTTCACTGCCCTAGGCAGGGCCCAGGAGACAGCTGTTTTCTCCCCTCAGACCAGGCAGAAGTTATGAACACCAAAGCAGGAAATCTGTGCTGAGCTGGCCAGATATCCCTATCCTTAGTATCAGCAACCAAATACAGCTGAAAACATTGAAAAATCTAGAAAAGACATTGACATTTGCTCCCTTCTAGTGGATTTAGAGAAGGCTGGCAGTCCAAACCCACCAAACACTCTTCAGAAAGAAGACTGGGCAATCTACTTCCTCCGTAGAGATACCACCTCGGAAATACAAGGACCGGTAACTATGAGTCGGAACTGAGTCAATGGCAGTTAGTTTTTTTTTTTTTTTGAGTGGATTTAGATACCATTTCCGGGG